GGAGATCCTCCACCACCGCCGCAGCCTCAAGCAGAGCCGAGGCCAAGGCCAAGGCTCCCTGATTGGACTCGCTTCGACGTTCAGCTCAGCCTCCAAAACCTGCGCAGCTTTGACCCAGCTGTAGTGCAGCGAGAACTCCGCAAACTCCACTTGAGATGGTTTCATGCCAAGGAGCCAAAAATGCGGATGATTCTAACCAAGGTTGGTCTGGGTGAAACCCGTTTGAGTCTGATCAAAGGCATTTGCGACTCGTGTAGAGAATGTCGAGCCTGGGACAAACCAGGCAACACGGTGATGCCTTCTGTGTCACTGCCAGGACGTTTCAACGAGGAAGTCGAATGTGATCTTTTCTTTTACAAACAGGAACATATTGTTTTTCACATCATCGACCGTTGTATTCGCTGGGCAGCTGGCACAGAGATTCCTGATAAGACCATGCATACTGTTCTCGATGCCTATCACACAACTTGGATGCAACACGGCCCTGCTAAAATCTTATACTCCGATGGGGAAGGAGCACTGAATAACGATACAGCAAAGGCCATCCTTAAGGCTAAGGGAACAGAGCTTCGTATCCGAGCGCGTGGCCAACACGCCACGACTATCGAAGCTAGGAACGGCATCCTGCGACACCTCATACACGTGATGGGAGAAGAATTGAATAGATTAAATATTCCTCTGAATTTCACTCGTCTTTTACATGAAGCCTTGTTTGCCAGCAACGCATTTACCTTCTACAATGAAGTGTCTCCGTACAATGCGCTGTATGGCAGACAACCAGCTATGCTTCCCGATTTCCCTGTCTTGGATCATGATCAGTCCGCTGAATCATCAGATCACTCAAGGGAGGAAACAATCAGGAGGGTTAGTCTGGAGGCAATCACGCAGGCCACTGCGGTTGCCAAGACGAACAGGGCTCTCCGTACGAAGACTACTGCTACGGGTGAATTTCACTACAAAGAGGGAGATCTCGTGGACTATCATCGCCCGACCACCACGAAAGACGACTGGGGTGGATGGAGTGGTCCATACCCGGTCATCCGCAACGAACCTGACCGAGGCCAGGTCATCGTGAAGGTCGGCAGTCGCGAGGTGCGAGTACAGTATCCTGACACACGACACACGCTGTACATCGAAGCACTCATGGTCCGCGAGATAGGATCGGACAATACGGCCCTTCGGACAGTATTGGCCTTTATTGCCGGTCTGCCAGCGGGGAAACCCGCCATGACTTTCGGATATCTACCAGCGAAACAGGGTCGGCTGCAGATGACTGCTGCGAGCCGACTTTCGCCTAAGGTGCACTTGGCTCTTCAGTACCTCATACGCAACTACTTTCGTATTGAAAACGTTGTTGCTGTACGACTTGCCAAGAGCCTGACGAAGTTGCCTGCTGCACCCTATGCAGACAGCTGTACACTAGTGCACTATGATAATGATGTGACCCCTGGTTTTCATTACTATGAAGCTGATGGCACTGCCTTGAACATCTACGACATCACAGGATCTACACACTCACGCATCATCCAGTGTCTTAAATCCAGGAAGCCGCCTGCTGGATTTGACCGAGACCTCACTAAGTTTGAGGAACTCGCTGATGGTCCACCACCAAGCGAGTCACCTCCAGCAGCTGCTCCTGAGGAGCCTCCTACGGAGAACGATGGTCGGCTCCCGACCATCATAGAGGAAACAGAAGAAGATCTGGATGCCTTTGTCTTGAAGTCGTGGTATGCTGAACTGATGGATGACAGAACACTCCTTGAAGCTGACACAGAGGAAGTCATGCATACAGTTCCCACATACATGACAGACACACAGTGTGTGTTAGTCTCTACGACCTGTGAAGATGTGCAAGGCCACTTGCCGGAGCGGGGTCACCCGCCAGGATACGACATGGACACTTCTTACTACGTTCCCTTATGCTCCACGGATCCGGACAGTAAATATGATCTGGACTCCGATGAGCACGGGAAGTACATCGAGCTCTGCTTCACAGCAGACATGTCCAAAGTCGTCCTGTCCGAGCAGCAACACCGATTGTTGGATGACAGCAGCGTCACAACTATGCGAGTATACGTTAGTGCTGCTTCCAAACGTGCCGTGGTCGTCAAGGAAGACGATCTACTCACGAAGGCCGACATCCAAGCAAATCCGGTCAAAGTTTCCAAAGCCCTTTACACAGAATTGAAGACTTGGCTTGACAACAAATGCTTCCAGATGACTGACTTGAGCAAAGCGTCTAACATCATGACTTCACGCTACGTATACAAATGGAAGTTTGTCAAGAACGAAAAGGGCGAAATGGAAAGGACGATCAGGTTACGCTTGGTACTCCGTGGCTTCATGGACCTTGAAGCCTTTGATGTCGAAACCTTCTCTGGCACGGCAAGGAGGTCAAGCCAGAGACTGCTCGCAAGTTCTGCTGCATGCAACAAAGCTTGGATCATCGCTTCCCTGGACATCAACATGGCTTTCTTGAAGGGACTGACCTATAGCGAGCTCGCCGCGGCAACGGGCGAGAAAGAGCGTGTGGTGTGCTTCACACTACCTCCTGGGTCAGCAGCTGTCCTTCGCACACTGCCAGGCTTTGAGTCATATGACGAATCAAAGCATTGTCTTCGGTGTCTGAAGCCGGGGACGGGCACGAAGGATGCTCCCAGGGCATTCTCGTTGAAGCTCAGGTCCATCACTAGGAGCTTTGGGCTACAGCCTACTTCATACGACGAAGAGTTCGAGATGAGCCCAAACCTCTTGACAGCCAAACACGTTGATGACATCAATATGACTGGGAAGGAAGATGCTATTGACAAGTATGTCAAGTGTGTTGAAGATACGT